ATTAAAGAAAATGAACAGAATAATGCTGTTTATCTATAATATCAGAGGATGGATGAATGAGACTGAAATTCACTTCTGGAAATGTCATTAAACATGTCTGGTATAGACATGGTCATCCTATACCAGTCCATTTTACTTAACTTTAATATTTCCATGTATAAGTGTGTGGATACCTTATTTGTAAACAAACAAGCAAGAAATAGAACCAATGATCTGTAGTATGAGGAAGCAGGGCAGAGCTAGCTGAGTAATTGTAGGGCAAAGTACAAAATGAAACTACATGATCCCATTTACAAAACAGGGGGAAAAAGTGCTGTTAAAACAGATTTTTAAATACAAAGCTTTTTTCTTGGTGTCTGTCTCTCTTGACTTATCTGATACAAGCCATTGTATTTTCAATCACCTCATATGCATGTGAAAGCTGGATAAATGAATCAGGAAGACCAAAAAAGAACAGATATCTTTGAATTATTGTATTAGTGAAAAATAATAAATATATCATGTATTTCTAGAAGAAGGAACAAACCTGTATTGGAAGAAGAACAGATAGAATGTTACTTAGAAGCAAGAATAGTGAGACTTTTTCTCATATACTTTGGACGTGTTATCAGAATGGGCCATTCCCTTGAGAAAGACATCATGCTTGGTGAATAGAAGTTCAATGATAAAAAAAGAAGACCCTCAAAGAAATGGATCAAAACTGTGGCTGTATCAATGGGCTAAAGCACAGGAAATACTGTGTGGATGGTGCAGGACCAGGCAGTATTTCATTGTGTTGTATACAGGGTCACTGTGAGTTGGAACTGACTCGATGGCACTTAACATTAAGCAATAATAACATGCATGCATATGCATAATGCCTCACCAGAATTGTGGGAGTGGCTGTACAAAACTCAATTGGTTTAATTTCATTTCTCAGTAATGTACACATTCTACAAACTATGTGTTGGCCTACTTTTCTTTTGTGTCATCATTTTCAGTGGAAATGGTTGACTAATAACAGGAGTGAGAGAGAGGATACTCTCGACTTCCTTAGTCACTTTAATCTGTTGTCTTCTTTGGTTTGAAACAAGTTTTGGTTGCAGTGGAAAGCCACCCTCCTTGCTCCCCATCTCCTGCCTAATCAGTGGTAGATACAGCATACTTTCCTTTCACTTGTTTTGAATTTCACTGAACTGTCACTCGTCATGGGGCTAGTGGAAGTCTGAGCTCACAGGGCTCTATGTAAACAGAGAATCTGCATCTTGTATATATCTTCTCATACACATGCTCCATTGTGCCATTAGACTTTACTTACAGAACCACAAGTTCAAAGATAAAATTACTAAGAATTTCAAGATGGCGACTCCAAAGCATTAAACCAAGCTCAGGGTCCTGTGTGATGGTACATTTCTTATACTCATGAAGCGGACCCTGAAGCATCGTTAGATTCAAAGGAACAGTTCCCTGGAAATAAAAGTTCTTAGATGTAGGAATGATTTTCTGAGCAGTTGAAATATTCCCTACTCTGGAGATCTGTAGAAACAGCCTTATTTGGCTTTGGATTGGATTGTTGTTGTTAAATGCCATCCAATTGGTTCTCATAGCAACCCTGTATAGGGTTTCCAAGGGACAGTTAGTGAGCCTGAAGCACCGACCTTGCGATTCAAACTGACCGCAGTCCACCGCATTAACCCACAGCACCACACCAGGACTCCTGATTTGGGACCTGTTGTTAAGTACAATCAAGTCGGTTCTGGCTCACAGCAGCCCTGTATAAGGTTTCTGAGGAATGGCTGATGGGTTTGAACTGCTGACCTTGCGATACAAGGCATTATCCTGCAGCACCACATCAGGCTTGGGATATAAGAGTATGAGTATATGTTCATTCCTCCTATAGGCAGGTGAATGGACTTAGTATCTTCTCGGTGCCGTTTTCTACCAAGCATCTGTAGTCTGTGCTGTCATAGCTCCCGAAACACGTCGGGGGGAAATTTCTGCAAATTCTCTTTTGAATTTTAGGAAATTAGAAGGTGTATATGCTTGTTATGTCTGTTGGACTCATTAATGAGACAAGACATTTGATAAAAGCATAACTTGGAAAAGAATGAATCAGAAAAGACATTTTAAGACTACTTGTTGTGTTCTTCATCTTTAATTAGGTTGTGGTATTCACTTTGGGCTTATACTGTTGAGACAGCTTAAATGTCTTAAGAAAAAAAGGAATCTTTTTTCATTCTTTAAGACATACGCATTACAGTATGTGGTTTTTTGACATGCTAGTTCACAATCCCCCACATTATGCCTTTGGACCTCACAAATAAATGTTATGTGATGGGTATCCCACTGAGATGTGAAGATGAAATATGTAACCCTGAAATAACTTGGAAGGAGGGTGAGGCAGGGAAGAAAGGAGTCTGTTACCAGAATGTTGAAAATACATCCCATATTGAAGTTATTATGATACCACAAAAATCTGAATGTAATTTAGACGGGTTTACTTGAGGGAGGATGGCAGAGTACGTGTGTGTGTGTGTGTGTGTGTGTGTGTGTGTGTGTGTGTG